CAGGCATGGTGGCGCATGCCTGTGATCCCAGCACTTGGGGAAGCAGAGGCAGGCAGATCTCTGTAAGTTCCAGGTCAGCCTGGTCTACAAAACGAGTCCAGGACATCCATGGCTACACAGAGAAACCCTGTCTCAAACAAACAAACAAATAAACAAACAAACAACACTAACAACAGCAACAAACAAAGTCATATAGATGTCTATCATGAATTGAGGATCATTTCCAGTCAGTCATGCACTGTTTCCTTAAGGCCTGAGGCAGCTACAGAGGAGTCTGGAGTGTGCTGTGGGCAGCTATTTGCTGGGTTATCAGTTCCTCTCTGCAGCCACTTGGCTTCTCTCTTCTGGGCTGTTTTAGAGGAGAGCTGGCTTCAGGATGGCCATCTGGCAAGGGTTCACAAAGCTTTTGTGAAGTCACATGTGGTCTCGGGGTTGCCAGGAAAAAGGATGCCTTGATGAGCCAAAATGCAAATTCCACAGAAGAGGAAAAGTGAAAGTGAGCTTGTTCACACTGTGCAGGACTCCAAGGAAATGACACAATGTGAGAGACACAATGTCCTGCCTTTAGGCTTCATCATATTACAGGGACAACATTCTGCATTTGATCAAAAACTTGCCTTCCAACAATTCCTTTCTTAGGTCATTAAGAGAAGCAGAGGTGACCCAAATTAAGGTCACAGGTAACCCTTTGAGGAGCAGTTGTTCTGGTGAGGGGGAGTTTTCTTGCCAGCCTCGAGTTTCTCTTGTCTTAGAGTCAAGACAATCGAAGCAGATCTAAGCTAAAAGAAGATGTGAGGCCTTTTACCCAATCTGTTCCCATCCAAAAAGATCTCCAGAGTCTTTGTTGATATTTGCAAAAGCTCTTTAGATGCCTGATGTTTCCTCTTCTATTTAAATCGTGGTTTTTGAGACAGTGTCTCATGTAACCCAAGCTGGCTTCAACCCATATGCCAAAGGCTGTCTGATCCCCCTACCTCTGTTTCTCCAGAACTGAGATTTACAGACATGACCACCACACTTGGCTTTACTTCTCCTCCTTCATCTCTCTCCTCTTCTCCTCTCTGTTGGTTTTGCCTTCTCCAAGACACTTGTCCCACTGGCCATGCCCAAACTCAAGGTTTTTTACTAGATGGACCTCACTGCCCAAGAGAAGGTAATCTTCCTCTAGCCAAAATGTTAAATACTCTTTAAGCAATAACTTTCTTCTCTTTTCTTTGCCTCCAAGTAACAGTTATAACCAAAGACTGAGCCCAAAGAGATAAGGGGATGAGGGGGTGTGGAGAGATGGCTCAGTGGTTAAGAGCACTGTCTGCTCTTCCAAAGGACTCAGTTTCAATTCCCAGCACCCACATAGCAGCTCACAAATGTTTGTAATACCCATTTCAGGGTATCTGACACCTTTATGCACATAAAATGAAGTTAAATAAATAAATAAAAATATTTGTTAAAAAAGAGATACAGTGACCACTGGAAATTGGAGAAGAATAATTAAAGGCATTGTTTATAAGCAATGTAGTCTTGGCATTTACTAATTTTGAGATGAAATTTTTTTCAAAGAGGATTTGAAAGCCTTTCTCAAAGATGATTAGAATCTCAGTTTGACCCAAAGTTTTGACTGTCTTGGGAAGTTATACGCACATGTGACGTTTGGAATGTGTCCTTTTCAAATAAAAGAATCACTATAACATATGTCTAAATCCATTTGAAAATTTGAAGTACGGTTTAAGGACAGTTTACTTTCACAAACATAGGCTGGCAAGTTCTGAATGAACGTGCCTTCTCGAGAGCCAGCCCTGTGCTAAGGCGAGAAGCCCTGCTGGGTTCAAGGCATAGCCAATGCTTATGAGCAGACTAGAGGAAGCAGGCCTTAGCTCTGCCTCTCGAAGGAGGACCAAACTGTTGATTGTGAAGGCAAAGCCAAAACAAATTAAAGGGCCAGAATTTTACGTAAGACCCTTGCTTGAAGAGTGTGGCAGCCCAAGCTGGGTGTGATGGCGCACACCTTTAATCCCAGCTCTTGGGATGCAGAGGCAGGCAGATCTCTGAGTTCAAGGCCAGACTGGTCTACAGTGTAAGTACCCCTTTCACGAAACACCAAAAAAAAAAAAAAAAAAAAAAAAAAAAAAAAAAAAAAAAAAAAAAAACAAAAAAAAAAAAAAAAAAAAAAAAAAAAAAAAAAAAAAAAAAAAAAAAGGAAAGAGTAGATGAAAAGTGACTCAGACAATTCAAAAGAAAAAGAGGTGGAGTGGTGTCTTGGGGCTGTTTTGATAACCTCTTTCTAAACAGGGGACCATTTAAGCTATCAGAACACACACACACACACACACACACACACACACACACACACACACCTTCTTCCATCGTAGTCAGGATTTTCAACTTTCCCATTAGGTGTCTTACAGAGAACGGTGTGGTATAGCTCACCCACTCTCAAAGTCTGAATGAAGCTGGATGAAACCTGTCACTGGGCCTCACTCAAAGTAAAGACGAGGACGGGATCTAAGAATGTGTGCATACAAACCCCTAAGTGATGCTGAAGCTTGGGATCTGGAAGATAGGCTTTTAGGACCGCTTCAATAGTTAGCTATTCAAAATTATTACTAGAGTTATATTCCTGGGTTTACAGGCCGGCAACAGTAGGACCCGTGACCGCCTCTTCGTTACCTCCATGTCCCTAATCCCATTCACAGAGCAATGAGGATAGGAATTGCACCTGCTCTGCGGCCCCGTGTGGAGAAGATAATGCACCAAAGCACAACTGTGCATCCTAAAGTCCAGTTGCTAACGTTACTTCCCCCAGGCACACCAACAGTGCAGGCGGCTGCGGCTGCGGACCGGAAGCCCAGCGCCTTGCCCACAGAGGTGCACTGGGATGTGCCTGGATCTCATCGGCTGGTGAAGCCTGGGGTCGCTGGATCACCCGTTGCTCACGCAAACCCCGCGGGCTCCTGCGCACAGAACCCTGGCTGTCACCTCGAGCCCACTTCAAAGGCCTCAGGTTGCACTGATCCCTCTCGGACCAGGAGCACGCTGTGTCCGCTTTTATGAGAAAGACATTCTACAGAGCAGAAGCGCCCCCCACCCTGTCCCCCAAGCACCGAAAATCAGGGCTTGAGTCTGCAAGCCACACACCTGGATTAAACATCCAGCCCTCCCAGGGCTGGGTGCCGCGTCCTCCTCCCCTAACACTTTAAAATTAGATCGATTTAAATAAGAAGAGAGAAAGTCCCGGAGAGTTCAATGGCTTAGGCTTGCTTTTTGTTTTTATTATCAACAATCATGTTAATGGTACAGTCTTGGAAAACTATATGCACATGTAGAAATATTTCCCCTTTAAATAGAAGCATTCATTATAACACGTATAAATAAATTTGAAAATCTGAAACATAACTTAGGACGCTTATGCTCACAAACATAGTCCCCAACGAGAAGGAAAAGGAAATCAGACAGACATGCACCTGATAACAAAAATATATACCATTGTCCCAACGGTCTCTCTAAACACAAAGGAATCGAACCCGTGAGAACCTTTTATTACGTCATAAAGACACACCATAGAGACTACAAAGAAGAGAAAAAACATTACAGGGTCACGTAGAGGAGACGCTCTGTACTGATAGTAACACGATACAATTGAGTCACAGAACACAGCTGTAGAAAGACACGGAAAAAAGTTAAAGCCTCAACATTCAACTAATATCTATCGTTTGTGCCTTTTAAAAGAAAATAAAAATAAAAAACCCCAACAGAGATGTCTAAACTGCGCATGGAAGGAATCCGCAATTTACAGTCGGTCCACCGTCCGGGATGAGTCCAGCTCGGATCACTCAATCAGAAATGCAAGCAGAGACGCTTCCTGCAAACGAGCGTGCGTGCGTGTGCCTTTCCCTTGCTGGGTGTAGATTTATTTCTCCTGCAGCTGACTCCGATGCAAAGCCAAAAATAAAGTTCGGCAAAAGCTGGTGGAAGAGAAGGAAATGCGGGTCGGGTGGCAGGGGAGAGAGAGAGAGAGAGAGAGAGAGAGAGAGAGAGAGAGAGAGAGAGAGAGAGAGAGAGCAAGGGAGCGCTGTGAGCTAGGAGACACGGTTTGCAGAGTCTGAGGATGGAAAGGCATCTCATGTCCGGGGCATCTTTCTGGCCCAAGCGGCTGCGGGTTTGGGAAGAGCGACGCTGCGGGGATCGGTTGCGCTCACGGCGAGGTGGGGACAGGCAAGAAGCGGGCTCCGGAGAGTCCCTGCGGCCGCCCGGACGGTCTGAGCGAGCCGTCCCGCGGGGAGCCGGGGCTGGGCGGGCGTCGGTGCTCTGCTAGAGAGGAAACAGGCTGCGCAGTCGCGAGAGGGCAAACGTGGGGGTTCTCAAGACCAGACCCTCAGCGCCAGCCGCAGTCCTGCCGCGCCCCGTCTGTATTTTTAACCTGTTCCCTCCGTTTGGGTCTTCTTAACTTCGGCGATTGATTTTTTTTTTTTTTCAATCGTTGCTGCTTTCCGAACTTTTAAGGTTTTTTTGTTTGTTTTCTTCTAAGAAGTCACTGAGTTGGTTGTGGCTCCACCATCTCCCCCTGTCACCTACTCGGGGCCACGGACACACATTCTCTGAGACAGACAGACAACCGACACTCAGACACAGCCCCCTGAGAGTGCCCCAAGTCCAGGCCAAGCGGCTCACGCCCCCCATCCCCCCTGGGCAGCAGGTGGAGCCCTGTCCCCTGCGCTGCGCGAGGCAGAGGGACAAGCCAGGGAAGGGTCTGGTTAGTTTTGTTTTTTTTGTTTTCGTTTTTGTGTTGTGTTGTGGGGTCGAGGAGAGGGGTGAGGAGCGGGGTTTGAAACGGGAGCGACGTCACTTTCTCGTTATCCGACTCGCCATCACTCTAGGGCCTTGGACGACGAAAGCCACCTGGCAGCGGCGACACCAGCCTCGGGTCGACCCCCTCGACCCCTCCCTCCCCCTCGCCAAGCCCGAGCCCGGGCTCGCCCGCGCCGCCGCCGCCGCCGATCGCAGGATCAGAACATACTGCTCTTCACCAAGGCGGCTTTGGCACCGTTGGGTCTTTGGAGAGAAGATAAAACGCTGGCGAACGGGCCCCCGAGCGAATCCGGGATGGAGGTGATGGGGCCCGGGCCGGGAGCCCAGCCCTGTCCGGGGCCCCCGGCCGCAGCCAGGCCTCCCGCCGCCGCCGCCGCCGCAGCAGC